ACTTCAAATCGTGACTCATCTGACCACAGAACAGTCTTCCATTTTGCCACACTCCATTTTAAATGACCCCTGGCCCAGTGCAAACGTCTGAGCTTGTGGAGCTTGCTTAGAAATGGCTTCCTCTTTGCACTGTGGAGTTTCAGCTGGCAACGGTGGATGGCACGGTGGGTTGTGTTCACTAACAATGCTTTCTGGAAGTATTCCTGAGCCCATTCTGTTATTTTCTTGACAGTGGCATTCCTGTTTGAGGTGCAGTGACGTTTAAGGGCCCGGAGATCACGAGCATCCAGTAGAGTTTTACGGCCTTGACCCTTATGCACAGCGATTGTTCCAGATTCTCTGAATCTTTTGATGATGTTATGCACGGTTGATGATGATAACTTAAAAGTCTTTGCTATTTTATGCTGGGTAACATCATTCTGGTATTGCTGCACTATCTTTCTGTGCAACAATGGTGGAATTGGTGATCCACTTACCATCTTACCACAGACTCATGTTCATGTTTGTGCTGATGTTCAATGTTTTATGTTATGAGTGCTTAGTGTATATTTAGTTGATGTTTTTCTTAGTTCATATCTTAGATGTTGTTACTGTTTTTCTTATACATTTTATTGTTGGATGTAACTGGGACCCCGTGTACATAATTTCGCTCCACCACATGTACCACATGAGGTACGAATGACAATAAAGAAACTCTGACTCTGACTCTGATCTTGGCTTCTGAGAGACACTGACACTCTAAGAAGCTCTTTTTATACCCAATCATGTTGTCAATTGACCTAATTAGTGTTAATTTTGGTTAGCTACCCAGCTACCCATCCAGGCTGTCACATTGTAAAGTTTGCAGATGATACAGCGGTGGTGGGATGCATCACAAACAATGATGAGTCCAGCTACAGGCAAGAGGTGGAACACCTGGAGAGCTGGTGCAGAGAGAATAACCTTCACATCAATGTGAAGAAGACGAAGGAGATGATTGTGGACTTCAGAAGGAACAAAAACACCTACACCCCCCTGAACATAAGAGGATCTGCGGTGGAAGTGGTCTCCAGCTACAAGTACTTGGGTGTACACATGAATGACAAACTCAGCTGGAGCAACAACACCACCAGCCTGATCAAGAAAGCTCATCAGAGACTCTACTTCCTCAGACGGCTGAGGCGAGCTGGTCTGGGAAGCTCAGTCCTCACCTCCTTCTACAGGTGTGCAGTGGAGAGCATCCTGTGCTCCAACATCGTGTGGCATGGAGGCTGCACAGCTGCAGAAAGAAAAACTTTGCAGAGAGTGGTGAAGGCTGCACAGAAATCTGTTGGAATCAGCCTCCCCACCATCACAGACATCTACACCTCCAGATGCAGGAAGAGGGCCGCCTGCATCATGAAGGACTCCACTCACCCAGCACACACACTTTTTGCCCCACTCCCCTCAGGAAGGAGGTTAAGGAGCATTAAGTGTAGAACCACTAGACTGAGGAACAGCTTCTACCCTGAGGCTGTTAGACTCATGAATCTCTAACTAGAATAATCACTGTGAAAAACCATATCATGTTGCTGCTGATCTGTTTCATGTTGCTGCTGATCTGTTTCAATGTTGATGTGTTCATGCGTGCACATCTGCTCACAGACTCATGTTCATGTTTGTGCTGATGTTTTATGTTATGAGTGCTTAGTGTATATTTAGTTGATGTTTTTCTTAGTTCATATCTTAGATGTTATTACTGTTTTTCTTATACATTTTATTGTTGGCTGTAACTGGGACCCTGTGTACATAATTTCGCTCCACCACATGTACCACATGAGGTGCGAATGACAATAAAGAAACTCTGACTCTGACTCTGACTCTGACTAATTGGTCTTCCAGCTTTTCGTTATATGCTCAATTTCCTTTTTCCAGCCACTTATTGCTACTTGTCCCAACTTTTTTGGGATTTGTTGACACTTTGAAATTTTGAATCAACATATTTTTCCTTTAAAATGTTACATTTACTCAGATTAAACTCTTGATCTGTCATCTATGTTATATTACGAATAAAATATTGACATTTGCCATCTCCACATCATTGCATTCAGTTTTTATTCACAATTTGTTTAGTGTCCCAACTTTTTTGGCATCCGGTTTGTAAAAATGTGTGAAGAAATATGTGAGAGAGTCACGTCCCAGAGACTGTTAGTGTGTTGAAAAGCATACTGGGTAGGAATTATGTGTGCAATGTTTCTGACTGTTTACGATGGTTTTGAGTGTGAAAATTAGTTTTTCATATTTTCCTGTTCTGGTTTGGTTTGGCATTTGTTAAATTCAGATTCAGATATTTTTTATTGTCATTCGCATCTCATGTGGTACATGTGGTGGAATGAAATTATGTACACAGGGTCCCAGTTACAACCAACAATAAAATGTAAAACAATGATAACATCCAAGATATTAACTAAGAAAAACGTCAACTAAATATACACTAAGCATTAACAGCATAAAAACGATACGCCGAACAGCACGACATGATTCTGTGTGAGCAGATGGGCATGAACACAGCAACATGAAACAGATCAGCAGCAACATGATGTGATTTTTCACAGTGATTATCCTGGTTAGAGATTCATGAGTCTAACCAGAATAATCACTGTGAAAAATTAAAGTTTCTGTTATTGGCTGTAAACTGACACTATGAGTCAGAAACTGCTTGCAAGGTGTGGTATATATGAGGGGGGTAAAGCTCTGCAAGGGTGGTGACATCACTAGGTGGTGCTTAGCTTTGGTTAGCTCTGCATAGCATAGTTCTGTGAAAATCAATGTTGTTCTGTATGATTTTAGTGCAGAGAACTGTCTTTAAAAAATACTTGGCAGACTTTAATTTGTCATATTTAAATTTAGCAAGAGCTAATTCTGCTAAAGGCTTTCAAAATGAGCAAAAATGCTAATATGCTACATGGAAAGTTAGCTTTGCTATTAGCAGATTAGCAGAACCATGCCAACCTCTGCATCTTAATGTATTTAAAAAATTGAACATTTGGCAGCAAAATAAGAAGAGCTATAGGAATCAACGTCTAAAAACAATTTGAGTTGTGTTTTTTTTCCAATGAGTACAATGTTCCTTTTGTTTTTGTGAAGGGAAAAATTTTACACGTGTACCAGAACCATCCTGTGGGGACGATGTACTTAGTCCTGCTTTAACTTCTCGGATCTCCTACTCTACATAGTCCAGTATGAAATTATATCAGTGTGTTTACTTGAATCAGCAGCACAGCTTGTACGTTAGTAGTGGTTGTATTGTGGTTGTATTGAAAAAGGAAAACGGGGGCACACCCCAGGCTTGGGGATTAAGCTAGCCAGCAAGCACCTAGTGGTTGAGCCTTGGTTCCTCGGGCTCGGGCAGGCCAAACCCATAAGACGGACTGATGCCACCTCGACGTGGGCCCACCACTTGTGAGGAGGACTGTTGAGGTCAGGTGTTATGTAAGTTGGACAGCAGACAAGAGATGGTCCCTGGCATTGCTGATTCCTGGCACTATAAACTAGCTCTACAGACATGGAATATCCCCTCACTGGTGGGGTAAGGAGTAGGTGCATGTGTGACATTAAACAATACTAATTAAATATCAGGCTTTCTTTTATGCAGCTTAGGCTCTTGAACTCATTGCAGACTCCTGGGATGGTGTGTCCCAACTATTGAGGAATCACACACTTTAACATTCCAGGAAATATTTACATCAGGGTGCTGGAAGGAAGACTTTGACTGACTATCAAGCCTTGGAATCAGGAGGAGCAATGTAGCTTTCATCCTGGCCGTAGAACAGTAGACCAAATCTTCACCCTTGCAGCGTTGCTAATGGGGTCATGGGCATTTGACTCTCCCGTCGACATGTGTTTTGTAAACCTGGAAGGTTTATGACTGTGTTTCTCAAGGCATTCTATAGGGGGTACCACAGTTGTCTTTAAGGGCTATCCTGTTCCTGATGATCAAAGCAAGAGCTGTTTCTGCATTCTTGGCACAAAGTCAAGCTCTTGCTCATTAACATCTGGACTCAGCCAGGGCTTTCTTTTGTTCTGCTCCTGTTTGTAATGTTCATCATCAGTGTCTGGTTTGAGAACCAAACCTGTTGTAATGACTCACTATGTGGTTTAGCAGTGTTGTGCTGAAATATGCAATGCTTCCATTGTCTTTTAAGCTCAGAGACTTCTCTAGGATTCTGAAACCAAACATCCTTAAACTTCCACTTGTTCTAGAGTTAGGTGGCCTTAAGCTCTATGAGGCTATCAGGGAGGCCCTGACGTTTCTTTCCACAGCCACCTCTTCCAGCCCTTCTGGGAGGATGCAAAGGCATTCCCAGGCCAGCCAAGAAACAGTCTCTCCAGTGTGTCCTAGGTCTTCCCCAGGGTCTCTTCTTATACATGAACATGCCTGGAAAACCTCTCTAGGGAGGCATCATGGGGACATCTTTACGTTTTAATGAAACTATGAAATGTAGATGATGGAATTTGAAGTCTTCCCTATTTTGCATTGAAAAACATTTTTCTGAAATCGTTCCACTATATTTATATGCACTTTGTTGCAGACTATGGCTCTGCCCATCTTTACATGTGAGAGATTCAGCCTCTCTAAAATGCTCTTTTTACACCCAGACCATTTACTGACCTGTTGACAAATAACCATGTTAGTTGTAAAGTGCTCCTCCAGCTTTTCCTTATTTGTACCACTTACTTACACCCTTTTGTTTCCCATGTCACATAGTTTTGATGTGTTGTGGTCATCAAATTCAGGATTACCTTTTTTTGTTTCCCTAAAAATTGTAGTTTCTTAGTTCCATTGTTTGGCATGTTTACTATGTTAGTGGTTTATGAGATTTGCAACTCATTGCTTTCTGTTGAAATTTTCATTTTACACAATTTCCCAAGTTTGTATGTTTTAGAGTTGCGTGCAGCTCCTCTGCCTGGACTCAGTCAGGCAAAGCTGAACGCATCCTTACCGACTAGCACCACTTGTCTTAACATTTGCTAAATAACCCATTATTCATTAAGGTGCCAACATATTTGCCCATTGGGTGTTTTTTTGGTTTTATTAATTTATGTTGCTTCATCAGGACTTTGTTTCATTTGATAAACTTTCCTTTTTGTCTCCCTTCAAGTCTTGGCCAGGTGTTCAGCTACACAAGACATCAGTCAGCACTGCAGTGACCCATGTCTGTCACAAGACTACACTGTTTCAGCAGAGAAGACGACGGTTACCACAGTGTCCTCCTCTAAAAGGGAGACACCCTTTTCACTGGAGTGGAGCACACTTAGGAAGAAAACAGAGGACTCTGTGAGTTCGATCCAAGTTTGCTTCCCTTTACAAAAGAAGGAAACTTGTGTGACTTGCTAACCTAATAACTCCCCAATGATTCTGTTTGAACCCTTTAAGACTTTTTGTCAAATAAATTACAGCCTCAAAATTAATCCATGACATTGTGTTAATGCCCCGGGTTATTGTTTTTATTACTCCCTTTGTTTTGTAACTTCTGTAATTTCTAGAAAGCTGATTTTCACGGACTACCCCCCACTCCTCAAGTCCATGTAAGTGTGAAATCTAACAGCATGCAACCTGTAACAAAAAATACAGTTAAAATCAGATGTTTACATACACTGTGTAGAAAAGACACAACCCTTTTGTCTCACTGTCTGACAGTCGATCAGACTAAACCGTTTTAGGTTAGTTATGGTTCCTAAAATTATTTATATTTGTTAAATAGTGAAAGAATTTTCAGATAAATTTTTAAAACTTTCTTCAAAGTCTCATGTTTCCATCCATGTCTTTAATATTTAGTATTAGTGGATTCAAACTGTCTGAACTGGGTCAAGTGTATTGGGTTTTCTTTCACAAGTTTCTCTCTATGTTTCTGTCATTTGGTCCCGTTTCTCCTGACAGAACTGCTGGACCTGAGTCAGGTTTGTAGGTCTCCTTGTTCACACACCTCATCAGGTTTGTCCACAAATGTCCTGTAGGACTGAGATCAGATGTTTGTGATGTCTGCTCCTAAACTCTGACTTTGTCGTCCTTAAACCACTTTGTAACTAATTTGGCCGCATGTTTTGGGTCTTTGTCCATTTGAAGACCCGTTTGTGTCCAAGTTTAACTTCCCGACTGACGTCTTGAGGTTTTGCTTCAATATTTCCACATGATGTTCTCGCCTCATGATGACATCTATTTCATGAAGAGCACCAGTTCCTCCTGCAGTAAAACACCCACAGCATGATGCAGCCACCCCCGTACTTCACAGATGAGATGCTTCAACCTAATGTAACGATGGTCATCATGGCTAAACAGTTGGTCCTTCATTTCTTCAGACCACAGGACAAGTCTCCTTGCTGTGGGAGTAACATCTTCCTGTCCTTTCAGTCCATGTTGGTCCAGGACTGGTTTCTCTGTAGATAATGACTCTGACCAGCTTCACCAACATCTTCCAAAGATCTGCTGCCGTTGTTTTGGGGGTTTTATGCACATTTGAGACCAACGGGAGTGGTGGCGTAGAGGTTAGAGAAGGTGGGTCTGTGAATGGAATGTCATCCGTTCAACTCCTGGTACCAACAACATCAAAATGTGGATGGGAAAGGTGAAACACCCACACCTGCCTCCACCCTCTTTTGCCCCACTCTGTGCTCTTGAGCAATTCCCTTAACCCTCATCATCTGCTCCCCCGGGCGCCCTAGATAGCAGCTCCCTGCTCCACACAGAGGGCTGTGGTAGCTCGGTGATCTGTGGTTGTGTCAGGAAGGACATCCTTCATAAAAACAATCACCAAGTCTTCGTGCAGCTTAATTTGCTGTGGTGACCCCTGAAGAAGGGAGCAGCTGAAAGAAAAGAAAAAATTAAATGCACGTTTCAGACCAACAAGTTCATCTATAAAATACAGAACCTGTCTCCTCCATATGATGGTGAGACGTTCTCATGCTGTTTAGACTTGTGGATAAATGTTTGAACAGATGAACCTTTACACATCTGGAAACTGGACCCAAGAATGAAGCAGAGTTGTGGAGCTCGATGATTCTCTTCCTGATATCTTGGCTGATTTCTTCAGATTTTCCCGTGATGCCACACAAAGAAGCAGAGTGTTTGAGGTGTATTTTAAAATGCATCCACAGGTGGACCTCCAGTTAACTCAAACATTGTCAACCAACCAATCAAAGACTTTTGGCTGATTCCCTATTTGTTTTAAGACATATTGGTGTATGCAAACTTGTGACTTTGAGGAAAGTAAAAAAAAAAAAAAATCTAATTTTTCATGAATTTAACAAATGAAAATAACTTTGTGCATTCTAACCGACCTAAAACAGGAAAGGTTTTGTCTGATTTAACTGTCAGTGAGACTGCTGTGGCTGAGTGGTTAGAGCGATCGTCCGCCAATGGGAGAGTTGGGGGTTCAATTCCATCAGCAGTTGCGCGCTCAAGTGTCCCTGGGCAAGACATTGAACTCCTCATTGCCTCTGTGTGTCCCATCGGTGTATGAATATGATCTAAAACACTGATTATTCTTTGTATAGGTCTAGTAGAGTGCTGATGAATGGGTAAATGAGGGCACAGATTGTAGAGTAAAGAGCTTTGAGTGTCTTAATTAGATAGAAAGGTGTTCTATAAGAACAGTCCATTTACCATTCTGTCTCTATAAAGTGTGTATTTAAACATCTGGTTTCACCTGCACCTTCATCCCTAATGTGAAAGGTCTAATTGCTTACACTGGCTCATCTTCTGTCATTCTTCCCTGCTTAAATAAGTTTACTTTCTGTTATTTGGAAATTCAACACTCAGTTTCTGCATTATGAGGTCACCAAGGTTGGATGCACAAAAGAAAAGATGTTGTTTCTGACACTGGTACCAGTTGGCAGTTGAAACAACTTAAATCTACAGACTGATCCTTTACTCTGCTGCCTTTCAGATGGGAGCGTGCTTCTCCAAAGTCTTCAATGGCTGCCCTCTTAAAATCCACTGTGCCGTCACCTGGATTTTACCCAAAACGAAAGGTAAGGAGAGTGCTGTTTTATTAACCTGAACCTGATTATGCTGTTTATTTTATTTCAAAGCAGAATTGACCATTTAAACACATCTTATGGTGAAATTTTCAAGTTCAAAGAATTCTTTGAATGATCAAAATATATGTGTAATATTTAGTTTTGTGTTACAAGAAAATTGGCTCCGCTCTTTAACAAAGATTTTCCCTTTTTAGATCAATATCTTATTCTGGGAGCCGACGAGGGCATCTACACACTGAACCTTAATGAGCTTCATGAAGACACACTGGAAAAGGTTTCAAGTATTAAAGTTCTGAAGACCCATTGGTCCTGTTCACACAGATGTCAGCTCTGATTTAAACCAGACTCCAAAACAATGTTGTGATTAGATGTCAGTGACCCGCTCTGTGTGCAGATACCCACACAGCTACGACACACCTGTATCAGACAGGTGCTAACAACTGAATGAAATTATTAAAATACGATGACGGAATGGATGACGAGGAGAGTTGGACGGAAGAGCTGCTATTTATGCAGCTTATGAAAGAGCTTCTGCTGCAAAGAGCTCTGTTTTCTATCACAAACCATTCACAACAAGCATCAACACATATTCTCATGTACATTAGAATAGTGCATAACACTTTATATAACAATAAAGACTTTATATTTTGTCACTTTACACATCTGTTTATCCATTATCTGTCGCTGTCCTAACTTGGGTTGTAGGGTGTTGCAGCCGATGTAAAGCCAAACTATTCTGCCCAGACCACAGAGCAATGCTTAGCACACAACTACGCTTTAATTCACGTGTGTGACAGCAGCCCAGCGCTGCTTCACAGACAGGTGACAACAGAGCTGGTTTGTGCAAGGTGTTCTTCAGCTTTAGCCTTTTAGCTTACCATAAGCTCCAGGGCTAATATATAATGGCATCAGCTCCAGAGCTAAAACTGTTAGCTTCATAACTAATGTATCTGGCGTTAGCTCCAGAGCTAAAACTGTTAGCTTCATAACTAATGTATCTGGCATTAGCTCCAGAACTAATATGGCTTTAGCGCCAAAGCTAATACTGTTAGCTCCACGGCCAATAGTGTTGGTTCCAGAGCTAATATATAATGGCATCAGCTCCAGAGCTAAAACTGTTAGCTTCAGAACTAATGTATCTGGCATGAGCTAATAGTGTTAGCTTCAGAGGTAATGTATCTGGCATGAGCTAATAGTGTTAGCTTCAGAGGTAATGTATCTGGCATTAGCTCTAGAGCTAAAACCATTAGCTTCAGAACTAATGTACCCAGTATTTGGCATCAGCTCCAGAGTTAAAAGCTTTAGCTCCAGAACTAATATTTATGGCTACAGCTCCAGAGCTAAAACTGTTAGCTCCAGGGCTAATAGCATTAGCTCTAGAGCTAATGTATATAGCATTAGCTTCATTGTATATTGTATACATTGTATATATATATGTACATGTGTATTATATTGTATTCATTGTATATATGTACATGTATTATATTGTATTCATTGTAATACATTAAACATGGCAAGTTGTTCACATTTGATCATTTCAACCCGCATATTATGCATAGCAGCATAAAGAATAATAAAAATATAACTTTATTGTCACATTATAACTTTTTAACCTAGACTCCTTGTGTTTTAGTCTGGACTGCAACCTATTTACATCATTGCCCCAGAATGCATTGCACAGCTAAATAAGACATCCTAAGATGAAAAATGTAATAAACATATCTAAATTTTCCCTTAAAAAAAAGCAATTGTTGCTGCCCATCATTCTGCAAAGGGTCAAACGTCATTTCTGAAGAGAGACAGATTATTCATTCATGGAAAACTTTTGAGACGGCTGCCAATCTGTCCAGTATTTAGTGGACTGTTTATTTTGTGTTTCTCTCTCTACAGCTGTTACCTCGGAGGTGTACCTGGCTTTACGTCATGAACAATGTGCTGATGTCTGTCTCAGGTAACATCTCCTGGAGTTTGTCTTTGTCAGAGAGCATAGTTCAAGTTATGTTTATTTGTCATATGCAGGTTAACACAAGGTCAATGAAATGTTTTTGAAATGATCAAAAATATTCATAGTACACTGTATGTTATCTGCTGCTTTAAGAAAGTGTCCTTTGCACAGGAAAGTCGTTGCAGCTTTACTCCCACAGTCTGATACCTTTGTTCGAACAGAGAGGACATCTGCAGAAGAAACACAGCAGCTTGTCTCTTGGCACCAGTCGCTTCACTGAGAGAATCATCCACAGGTTTGGACAGGCCATTAAACATTTCTCTTTTTCAAATGTACCCACTGTGGCTTTCTGGAACAAGTAAAGGCTTTTTGTTCTTGCTAATTTTCTCTTCACTTGCAGGAAGTTTGCCATATCCATGAAGATTCCTGACACTAAAGGCTGCAGGAGATGTAATGTAGGTAAGTGACTCCATGGTTTCAAATGATTGACAGACGCTCCTCCGCATGTTTTCCATTGTTTTATCCTCTGAGAGCTGCAGCTCTGTGGTCAGTGCTGTGCTGTTTTAATACTGAGGCTGCAGGTTCGAGCCCAGGTTGTTTTTCTGCAAAAATGTACTGTGAACACAGAGTGCTGAATGACTGCTGGCATTTGCTGAAGAAGCTGAAATTAAGTTGTTACAGTTAGAAGAAACCAGCTAAAAGCTATAATAATCAAAATGCTAGTTAAAAGTAGAAAAAGGCCAACTCAAAGCTTAAAGCTAAAATAGCAAACAGATAGTAAAATAACAGTAGCTAAAGATTAGCTAAAATTTATGCTGCAAAAGGTTAACTAAAAGCCAAAGGTTTTTACATGTTAGCTAAAAGTAGAACAAAGCTAGTTAAATGTCACAACAGGCCAGCTGCATCAAAAGACTCACTAGAAGCGAAACATAGTAAAACGAGAGCTTGAGGCTAATGGTAATGAAAGTTTAGCTATAAGCTAAAATAATCAAAATGGTAGCTAAAAGTATAAAAAAGCTAACTCAAAGCTAAAAGTAGTAACAGACTATCTAAAAGCTAAGAAGCAAACAGATAATAAAATGATAGTAGCAAAAGATTAACTAAAAATTATAAGTTGCAAAAGGCTTGCTAAAAGCTAAAGGGTTTTACATGTTAGCTAAAAGTAGCATAAAGCTAATTAAAAGCTGAAGGAGCAATAGGCTAGCTAAAAGCTAAAGGTTTTTACATGTTAGCTAAAAGTAGCATAAAGCTAGTTAAAGGAGCAATAGGCTAGCTAAAAGTAGTGTCTAACTAAAAGCAATAGTAGCAAAATGCTAGCTAAAAGCTAAAAGTCACAATAGGCAAGCTAACTGCATCAAATGACTTGCTAGATGCTAAACATAGCAAAAACCTAACTTGAGGCTAATTCAATAAAGTTCAGTTTTTTTATATAGCGTCAAGTCACAATAGAAGTCATCTCAGGGCACAAAAATTTAGCTAAAAGCTAAAATAATCAAAATTTAACACTAGGTAAAGTAGAAAAAGGCTAACTCAAAGCTAAAAGTAGTAAAAAGCTAACTAAAAGCTAAAATAATGGGTAGTAAAATTATAACAGTAGCAAAAGACTAAAAATTATATTGCAAAAGACTAGCTAAAAGCTAAAGGTTTTCATGTTAGCTTAAAGTAGCATAAACCTAGTTAAAATGTAAAGGAGCAATAGGCTAGCTATAAGAAGTGTCTAATTAAAAGCTATAGTAGCAAAATGCTAGCTAAAAGCTAAAAGTCACAATAGGCTAGATAACTGCATGAAAATGCTCGCTAGAAGCTAAACATCACATTAAGCTAGCTTGAGGCTAATGGTAGCAAAAGTTTAGCTAAAAGTAGGAGACTGGCAGATAAAAAGTAGAGCATAAGAAGACTTCAGGAGATGCAGGAACATCCATCTAACTTTTGTTCACTGTTCTTTTAGGCAGCAATCCTCTTGTGAATTTTAAAATGTTTCCAGGAGGTTCTCCTAAACGTTTTAAGTTCAGCTGATATAAACGTTTTAAGTTCAGCTGATAGTTTTGTCAGACAGGGATCAGCCAATAAAACTGATATATAATGTTTACTGGCCATCAGCTGCCATAGTCTTTAAAAATGGCAACCAAGGAACAAAAATCAGCCTCTGGAGTGACTTGCCTGTAGATTCTCCTGAAACATCCTCTGGTCATTAGTGAAAGTGGTTCATGTATTCTGTTTTGCAACATCAACGGTCTCTCTCACTTTCTGGTTGTCTTTAGCAAGAAACCCGTACACAGACAGCACATTTCTGTGTGCGGCCGTTCCGTCTGGCCTGGTTCTGCTGTTGTGGTATGAGCCTCTGCAGAAATTCATGCATCTAAAGGTTGGTTTTAAAAGCTGTCTGGGTCTTCGTTTACATGTTATGATCATACGAAGAAGTAATTCATGTACATGTCTCCTTTTTCTGCTTTATCACTGAGTTTGATACTTTCTTAAATCTAATCTTAAAAGCTATTAATTATTTTCCACTTTCCGTTTTCTTACATTTGTTTCTCTTCCAGCACATAGCAGTCCGGCTACCAGACACGCTGCCGGTGTTTGAGCTGCTGGTGCTTGCAACAGAGGAGTTTCCTCAACTGTGTGTGGGGGTGAGACCAAGTGGTGAAGGAAACACCACAAGCAGCCAACAGCTGAAGTTTGACATCATAGAGCTGAACGGCACGCCAGTTCCAGTACCAGGTAGGAGGAACTTCTGCGCTCCTTCCTTTGGGGTATGAAGGTCTTAGATTGAAGCTTAAACTGAACGTCTCTTTTTATCCAATTGACTTCAGATAACGGCGTTCTCAAAGCTGTGCAGGTGACCCAACTGGACCGAGACACAATCCTCATCGTCGTCGAAAGTAAGTCGAGAAATCTTCTTAAAGTTTTAGTCTCCTTATTGCGTAAATGTTTCTAAATCGTTCTCACCACTGAGATCCGTTTTTCCTCTGTATGTTTTTCAGCGCGTAACTCGTTCAGCAGTTTTTGTTCTATTTCAACAATTCAAGAATGAAAATGTTCAGCTCAGGCAGGACATTCCTGCATGAGCATGAGACTGCATGAGACTTTTAGTATTTGTGCAACTTTTATTTTATTTTTTTATATTTGGTCTTTTTTTTAATATTTAGCTTTTTCAGCCCAGTTTTCCTCATTGAAAATGAATGGAGCTCTTCATGTCCTTCAGAGCCTTTGAGCTGTTTAAAACTGCTCATTTCAGCTGCTGTTCTGCTTCAGCTTTTTTAGCTTCTCTCTGCTCACTTCAGCCTTTTTCAGCAAATGTTCTGTTCCTTTTGGCTACTTTATGCTAAATTCATCTCTCTTCTGCTTTATCAGCTACTTTTTTGTGCAGATTTTAGCCTTTTTACTGCTATTTATTTAGCTAATTTTCACCTTTTGTGATTCTTTTGCATAATATCAACATTTTCGCTCCTGTCAGCCTCCTTTTAGCTTTAACAGCTACATGTTTTTTTTGTTGCTAATGTCATGTTTTTTAATCAAGTCAGCCTTCGTCTGCCTATTTCAGATTATTCTCCTCATTTTTGCTACATTTCTGCTTTGTTCATCTTTTTATACACATTTCTGCTTCGTTCATCTTTTTATACACATTTCTGTTGTTTATCTTCTTTCAGCAAATATCAGCTGTTCAAACTCAACTCTCATTAACAGTGTAGAGATGAAACCTTTTCAGCAGGTTTTAGCTTCTTCAGCAGCTTTCAGCAAAAATCATTCAGCAATAAGCCTCCACACTGCATTTTTACAGGAAGTGACATCTGTTGAGTTAATAAAGTGTGCTTGATTCTCATGGGACAGAAACTATCAGGATTGTGGACCTGCGAGGTTTTCCATCCAGAGAGCTAACACCTGAGCTGGTCTTTGACTTCCCAATTGAAACACTCGGTAATAACAGGAAGAACACGGAAAGCTAAATGTTTTTAGTTGACATCTGAGTGACGTGACGTGTGTTCTCAGTCTGCTTACAGGACAGTGTGCTCGCTTTCTGGAAGCATGGCCTGAAAGGAAGAAGTTTCCACTCAGACGAGGTGACTTTCTGTTACTGTTGTTCAGTTTATATTATTTTTATTATTATTTTTGTTCAAACGAACAACGTCCTATTTGTGTACAGGTAACTCAGGAAATTACGGACGAGAGTCGGGTGTTCAGAGTTTTGGGAATAACCAGGTATTTTAACAATAAAATGTATTCAATTTAGTGAAAATTGTGTTAGTTGTGATCCCCATGAGAGAAACTGTGATGAGAACTGTTGATTACAGTCCTGAGAAAACTGAAGTCCTCTCATTTCTATGTGACGTATCAGAACATTTTGAAAGAATGATTTGGTCTGGACTAGGTTTAAAATGCATTTTGTCCTGATTCATGAAACGCAAGATCTTAAAAAGGATGAACTTCTTTTATCCCTGAATGTGTGACATTATTAATAATGCTTCAATAGAAATATGATTTTTTAATTACTTTTAAAATAATGCGACTACAACACAACCTGCCAACCTAAATTCAACTACTGACTTCATCAATTTAAAATATTTCCATACCTCATTATTAGCTCTGAATTGTCCCATCTCAACTTTTTGTCCCCGTCATGGAGTGAAGAGGGGGAACTGGAAATACCCTCCATCCATCCGTGCATGTTGTCAGCATGTCACTTGAAAATAAATGAGGTTCTTTATGGCGTGTGGCTGTTTAAGAAAATTAATTTTGAAAATTGGGTCACCATGTCAAAATCCAAGATGGCTGCCACTCTATATATATACAGTATATATATATACAGTATATATATATATATATATATATATATATATATATATATATATATATATA